AGTTTCCGTACGAGTAAGGCATTTCGTGACTCTATTTGCTAACTATCCTTTGTGATTGTGGTGCGTTTTGTAACGAGCGAGCTGCAATATAGGAACGTGAGCGTTGGCTAAGCCATCAATTGTTCCCGTTGCGCGGCTAGCAAGTATCAAAGCGAGCCGTCAGCACGGACGTGTTAGAATTGGTTGCAAACCATCAACCGACCGTGTTGAGCGGTATTCACGGACGTGTTAGAGTTGGTGAAAACCATCGACCAACCGTTGAGCTGCCTGTCACCCTAATCTCTATCTAGAGTCTGTCTGGTGACACAAGCAAGCGCTGTGTCATATCGAGGCCGCTTCCTTTCGTTTTGAGTGTGTATCTGGAAGCCTGTCATTTCTTTTCTTTATTTCACCTTTCTCTCTTTCTTTCCTTTCTTTTCTTTCTATTTCACTCTTGAACTAGTGTCTGTCTGGCGGTGTATGCAAGCGCGACACCGTATCGAGGCCGCTTTCTTTTGTGATTTGTTTTGTTATTCGATCGAGCGACGATCCATAGTAACGACATTTCACCCTTTCTTTCTTTCTCTCTTTCTTTCTTTCTTCCTTTTCTTCCTTCGCCCTTTACTTTCCAGTTGAATAATCCTCACTCTTTTACCTACTCAATTAATTTGTGTCTTATCACTCACTTTATTTTCAGCAAGTTATCGCCTTTTCTTTTACAGGAAGTTCCCTTTTATTGAGCTTACTTAGTCACACAGTAGAATTAAGTAAGTCTTCTTTGCATAGGTGTTGGGAGATTTACAGTAGCACCTTAGATTTCATTTACTTTGGGAGGAACAATAATCTTGAATCGCAATACACGCGGTTTTGTTAGTAATGTATCGTTGGCTTGCATTTCCCTTCGTAAGGAGCGCGACAAATAATAATTAATGAAGAAATAGTATTTATAATTCAATCGAGTAACCCTATCACTAATTGCTAAAATATAAATGGTACCCAAACCATCCAGAAATAAGAAGTCAAGTAAAAGCGAATCCGGAATATCTAGATCAGCTTACTGGTCACGTGAAAGAAGAAGAATAGACCGCGAACTCAGGAACGTGCAAAAAGGGCTCCAACGGATTGGAGAAAGGGTCATTCGTTTGCTACGGGAAGGTCAATTGACCCAGAGCCTTGTCGAAATTCAGGAACGAATATATTTAGATCCGCCGCGAAACGTCAGCCCGGAGACAATACACTCGGATACGAGCAATCAAGAGGACAGGGTCTTGCCGATAAACCATCCCGAGCCTGAAATTTTAGAATTTCCAGAGTCATCAGATTCGGATACATACACAGGACCAAGCTACTCCCCCGTCTACAACATTGCAGCTTAGAACTAGCTAAATAAATAAATAAAATTAAATAACTAAGTAGCAACCAGGTAAAAGGAGCAGCTTCAAGCGGAACGCGTAAATTGTCATTTATTGTGTGTGTATTTATTCACCTTTCTACCTTCAACAAA